GGATATAAAATCAATGTACAGGGGCACCTAGGTGGCTCAGTTGGTTAAGAGTGCAACTCTTGATTTAGGCTCAGGTCGTGATCTCAAGGTAGTGGAATTGAGCCCAGGGTCAGGAAATGTGCTCACTGTGGAGTCTGCTTAGGATTCTCTCTTTCTCTCTGTCTCTCTGCCCCCTCCCTGCTGGCACTCTCTAAATAAATAAATAAAATCTTTAAAAAATATATTCTCTTCCTTTCTCTCTGCCCCTCCCTCTCCCATCACACATTCTTACTCTTACTCAAAAAAATAACTAATTGATTAAAAATAAAGAAAGAAAAGAAAATCAATGTACAGAAATCTGTTTCATTCTATACACCAATAATGAAGCAACAGAAAAAAAAATCAAGGAATCAATCCCATTTACAATTATACCAAAAACTGTAAGATGCCTAGAATAAACCTAACCAAACAGGTAGAAGATCTATGCTCTGGAAACTATAGAACACTTATGAAAGAAATTGAAGAGGACACAAAGAAATGGAAAAACATTCGGTGCTCATGTATTAGAAGAATAAACATTGTTAAAATGTCTATACTACCCAAAGCAATCTACACATTTAATGCAATCCCTGTCAAAATACCACCAGCATTTTTCACAGAGCTAGAACACACAATCCTAAAATTTGTCTGGAACCACAAAAGACCCCAAATGGACAAAGCAACCCTGAAAAAGAAAAGCAAAGCTGGAGGAATCATGATTCCAGACTCCAATCTATATTACAAAGCTGTAGTCATCAAAGCTATATGGTACTGGTACAAAAACAGACATCTGGATCAATGGAACAGAATAGAGAACCCAGAAAGGGACCCACAACTCTATGGTCAACAAAGCTTCAACAAAGCAAGAAAGAATATCCAATGGAAAAAAGTCTCTTCAACAAATGACGGGAAAACTGGATAGCAACATGCAGAAGAATGAAACTGGACCATTTTGTTACACCATACACAAAAATAAATTCAAAATGCATAAAAGACCTAAATGTGAGACCAGAAACCATCAAAATCCTAGTGGAGAATACAGGCAGCAACCTCTTTGACCTCAGCCGTAGCAACTTCTTACTAGACATGTCACCAGAGGAAAACAAAAGCAAAAATGAACTATTGGGACTTCATCAAGATAAAAAGCTTCTGCGCAGCAAAGGAAATAATCAACAAAACTAAAAGGTAGCCTACAGAATGGGAAAAGATGTTTGCAAATGACATATCTGATAAAGGGTTAGTATCCAAAATCTATACAGAACTTATCAAACTCAACACCCAAAAACCAAATAATCCAGTTAAGAAATGGGCAGAAGACATGAATAGACATTTCTCCAAAGAAGACATCCAGATGGCTAACAGACACATGAAAAGATGCTCAACATCACTCATCATCAGGGAAATACAAATCAAATCCATGATAAGATACCACCTCACATCTGTCAGCATGGTTAAATTCAACAACACAGGAAACAACAGATGTTGGTGAGGATGTGGAGAAAGGGGAACCCTCTTGCACTGTTGGTGGGAATGCAAACTGGTGTAGCCACTCTGGAAGACAGTATGGAGTTTCCTCAAAAAGTTAAAAATAGAACCACCCTATGATCCAGCAATTACACTACTAGATATTTACCCACAGGATACAAAAAAACAGATTTGAAGGGGTACATGCTCCCCGATGTTTATAGCAGCATTATCAACAATAGCCAAGCTAATATGAAAGAGCCCAAATGTCTATCAACTGATGAACTGATGAATGGATGAAGAAGAGATGGTGTGTGTGTGTGCACACGTGCACGCATGTGTAATGGAATATTAGTCAGTCATCAAAAAGAATGAAATCTTGCCATTTGCAACAATGTGGGTGGAGCTAGATGTACTATGCTAAGCGAAATAAGTCAGAGAAAGATAAATACCGTATGATTTCACTCATATGTGGAATTTAAGAAACAAAACAGATGAACATATGGGAAGGGGGGGAAGAGAGAGGGAAACAAACCATAAGAGACTCTTAATGATAGAGAACAAAGTGAGGGTTGATGGAGAGAGGTGGGTGGGGGAGGGGCTAGATGGGTGATGGGCATTCAGGAGGGCACCTGTTAGGCTGTATGCAAGTGATGAACCACTGAATTCCATTCCTGAAACCAATATTGAACTGTATGTTAACTACCTAAAATTTAAATAAAATTTTGAAAAAACAATAAGAAAGAATGATGTAAAGAAGTGGCCAGGAGCAAAGAAGTGGCATGGAAGGACTGGGGGGCAATTGGTGAGCGATAAGGGGGTGCCCATTAGTGGATGTGAATAAGAAACAAAGAGGGTAGAGGAGCTGCCATCTCTGGAGGAGAGGTTGGCCCTAGTGTGCTTCATCAAGTGCCATGGGTCCCACTTGACACAATCCTGGAACTTCTCCATCACCAGAGTGAGAACAGCTCTGCATTTAACAATGACCTGGAACAGCAAAATGACATTTCTAATTTATGAACCATGTGGATAAACTAACTCTTGAAAATCTAACTGCAAATCATTTGTTTGGGGGAAATCCAGTGAAAATCGGGGCATTAAGCCTTCTACTATTTTTCTAATGTGGCAGAGAACCTAATTTTTTTTTAAAGATTATTTATTTATTTATTTGAGAGAGAGAGAGTTCGCACGAGCTCAGGGTATATGGGGGGCGCAGAGGGAGAAGAGAGGGAGAGAAGCAGACTGTCACACAGGGCTTGATCTCATAACCCGGAGACCACGACCTGGGCTGAGAAGCCTAGAGTCGGACGCTCAACCAACTGACCACCCAGATGCCCCTGAGAACCTAATATTTTTACCACACCATTATTCATAGGTTTTCTCCACCTTTGGCCGCCAGTCATAAATGCTCAATGCTGCCACATGACAAGCTCTCCAGCTGCCATGAGCTGAGAACACAGTGATTGCAACTCTGTCCAACATCTGCACTGACCAGTCCCTAGGAGCCTTTGTCAGTGTCCTTCATTTGGAGCTTAATCCAGTTCTTTCTCATCTATCTTGGTCTCCCTGAGTCTAACTTGAATAGGGGAAAAAACTACTGATTCCTACCAGTAACCGCATCTCCATCCTAGATAGTAGGACAAACACTGGACCATTGCTACACGCTCTGGGCTTGGGCGTTGAAGACCAGAACTAGGGAACTTGGTGAGCAATGTCACAATCTATAACAAGTTAAGAGGAAGAATTAGCCACGATGGGCAATGGGCATCTTGACTGAGGACCTCTAGAACCACGACATGAATTCAGACTAAACTCAAAGCCATGACATGCTTACTCCTAAAGCTCTCCTAACTCAAAATAACACAAGAATCCAGACTTACCCCCAGACTTCTATTTGCTGCAATCCAATTAAAGGAAGGAACAGACCTTCCCAGATTCTGGGAAGTTCCTATACTTCCCAGGGCACACTGCCCCAGGGGGCAGGTCTGTGATAAGCTTCCCTAAGTCAATTCCCAGGCACTGGTGCTGGATGGAACCCCAAATGTACTTATCAGTTTGCGTGCTGCCTCATTATTCCTGAGAAGAATCCATCATGATTCTACTAAACCTTGTTGTTCTAATGACTTTTTAATTATCTTCCTCCTTCCCTCCTCCTTAGTTGCTAACTTGTCAATTTAAAGAATTTCTTGTTTAAAAGGGTGCTACTTTTGATGATGACAACCATCCAGTTAAAATTCCATTAAGTACTTCACTCAGGAGGCTTATTTTTAAATTATCTGAGCTAGGGAATATATAGAAGTTTCAAGCAGGTAGAGAAGCAAGGGTCTATGCTTCCATCTGAGTGATCCTTCTTGAAATTTGGGACACTTTGATTAAATACCCAATTTTTTTTTATGTCATCAGTAAATCAGTTATCATACAAAAAAAAATCTATTTGTTAATTTGGCTATGAAACCTTTTTTATTTTCACCACAGAAAACACTAAAGCAACAAAAGTCACCTCCTCTAACCCCTACATTGTACTGAACTGCAAAAGGTAAGGTGACAGAACACAGGATCCTTGGTTAGTTAACTGAATGTTTTGCTTGACTCATTCATTTAACAAAAATTAACTACCTGCCAGGCACTGGCCAAGGCACTGAGAGTACACAGATGAACAAGATAGACAATGTTGCTGATCTTATGGAACTTACATGTCTAGGCAGGAGGAAGAACAAGTGCAAATGCCCTGAGGCAGAAATGGTTGAGCTGTTTCTGAGACACAAAAAGGAAATCCCTGTGGATGAGGGAGCCTGATGGGAACAGGGGTTGGAGAGAGAGACAAGATCCAAGTCTCATAGTATCTGAAGGCCTTGTGAGGGAAAACAGATTTTAATCTAAGTGCCACAGAAAGTCATTAGAGAATTTAATCAGGAAAACATATCTAATTCACCTTTTTAAAAAAAAAACCATTTTGGCTGTCATGGACAATGAACACTGTCTCGAATTTTATTTTTCTCACTCTGTCTCTGTTGTAGTATGAAGCACTGCTTTGGTAACTAAACTTAAGAAGCCATCTTAATGCTTCCGGGCTGGGTCATCCTCAGCAGAGGAGACTGGAAGCAGTACTGGTGTTCAAGGCAGACACCGAAGGAGAAGGCTCTGAGGCCCAAGTTCCCAGAAAAGGGTGCCCACCTCCTACCTCTACACAAAGTATCATGTTAGGCTCATTACCAACCAGCCTTAACCAAATTCCATGAAGAACCTTCCAGTAGTACCGTTCAGATAACGCTGTCTTTCCATACACAGCTGACTACAATCAGCCTTTTACTGTAGAAGACCCCAGGACAGCTAACTTTGCCCTCCTTCCCACACAGGCTAGAGTGACCTACAGGCTTTGCCTCTTCTAACTAGCCATTGTATTCATTCTACTTTCTACACAGGAGTAGGAAAGCTATAAAGAAAGGGATCTAGGGCTCCAGAAGGAATGGTGGGGAAGCAGGTGGCCAGCAAACACGGGCTGTGGAGCTGGATAATACCTCTTTGAATACTTCGTTTTAGCTTGTTACACAGATCCACGCGGGGGTTATCTACAGGCTCCTCTATAGATCCCGGGCTTTGTTCTGGAGAAGGAAGGCCTCTGCTAAGATCCAACGGTATTTTGCCAGGGTGCGGTGGTGGGGATGCAGCAGGGCTGTGGGTGGTGGTAGGACTGCTGGATGCTGAGCAGGTAGTCAGGTCCAACGCTCCTATCCTTGAGTTCAACGGAGAAGTCAAGGACAGCTTTCTGGCCCTCACTGGGGAGGACGTCCTGGACACAGCCAGCGGTGGTGGGGAAGAGAATTTGCGACACAAGCGTGGGGATTTGCCATCCACCAAATGTTCACCTCTATTGTTCTGGCTGGTGGCAAAAAACAACTCTAATGACCTAAAAATAAGAACAGAAGCCATTGACAGAAGATAGTTAAGTAAAGAGGATTCCCTTGATATCATTCAGAACATGCTCCCTACATTAAAAGGCCACAATATCATCACACTTCTGTTGCTGGATTTCCTTCATTTAAATGTTACCTATATGCCACATACTTACTGAAGGAACACAGACACATTTTAGGCCTTGTCTACTCCCTTGCTTACTCAACTGTGGCCCAAAGACCAGTAGCACTGGTATCTCCAGGGAGCTTGTCAGAAATGCAGAACTCAGGCTCCACTCCAGACATGCTAAATCACAGTCTGCAATTTAACAAGACCCCTGAGTGATTCTTAATGCATGTTAAAGTTTGAAAAGACCAACTGTTTAAAAAAAAAAAAAGGAAAGCCTAAAACAATACAGTTAGCTTCCAAATAATCATGGAGCAAGCAAAGATGACTTGGGGACTCTAGGCTTCTCAGCTTCTTCCATGGAGAACTATCTGTGACCTCTACCCACCCCCTTCTACAGGCAGGGCATGTAAGTTCCCAGGTGAGCCAGTCCTGTAGGAGCAGCGCTGCAGAGCGCATCTGCTCATCTGCATGGAGACCCAGGGACCGGGGGAGCCAACTTCCACGACAGGCAAGTCCAGAGCCTACCTGACAGGGATGGAGGTAAAAGGCCTCTTGTATATGTCGGAAAGTTTGGCCAGCACCACGGCTGCCGTAGTGAAAATACGATAGGTGTGCAGAAAGGTGTTGAGGAAATCGATACTGAGAAACCGCAAGTCTGTCAGCCGCTCCAGGAGGCGCTCCACGCTGGCGTAGCGGATCTGGGGCACTTTGCAGGAGTTCAGTGTTTTACTGAAGCAAATGTCGGTGTCATCTTTATGAAGACGGGCATCAGACCTACCCACAAAGCAGGAACATAAGAACAAAACCGGGACATGGCTTCCTCTCAGCCACTGAGTATTTCAGTATTCCAAAACACAAACTTGTATGTGGGCTTCCCATTGTATTTGATAAAAGATGTTGATATGACTTATTACATGCAAGAAGGCAGGGCTATAAAAACATCAACTATGTCCTTATAATTTAGGAAGATCAGAATTAATTGCAGAGAAGGTAAGAATAATTCATTTCGTTCTGTGGATTCCTTCTGTAGAGGAATAAAAATAATTTTCTACCTTTCTGAGTTCTTGGCTGAGACTCTTGTAATAAAAGACAGATTAGCAAGAGAAAAACAAACAGAAGTTTATTAACATGCATACCTCATGTACAAATGGGAGATACCCAGGGAAAAATAAGCAACTCCCAGAGGTGGCTTAGAATTCAGGCTTAAATACCACCTTAATAAGGAAAAGGGGGGGCGGGCAGGAGGGGTAGGCCTCTTAGGGGAGAGTAAATGATTTTAGGAAAGATGAATGGGCCCCTAGGAGACTAGATGGGATATAGGATAGTTTGGGACAGTTCGTCTAGGTGTGGGGCTGACTTCTAGTATCCTCTCTTATAATAAAAGTTGGTTGATGAAATTCTCAGGGAGGGGATTTATGACAACTGAGTGCCTTTTGGAGGATCTGTCTTCAGGCAAATAAGAGGAATTCAGAGAAAGTTTCTCCCTGCATTTGCTGTTTTTCAAGTGCCTACAGCTCAATCAATATGCCCAAGTGGCATGTTTTGGGGTGGCATATTCTGCTATCCTTCACTTCTCTCTCTAGTTCAATCACGTTTTATTAGGGAAATGAAACCAAATGCCCTATTTAGGAGGGGCATTGCTTATGTCTTTAAATCAGCATATCAGAAGTGTGCTTAATAACTAATGGGTAGTGGGGGAGAGGGAGACACAGATATCACTGCTATATGTATGGTAATTTTTTCCAAACTTCTAATTTTGTGCATTTGTGTTCCCCCCCTTTTTTTTCTTAACTAAACTGACCGACAGGCTATGTTATTAGGTATTTTTCCCTTTAGAACTGGCTCTTTGATCAATTCTACTGTTTTTCTATATTTTAATGTATTCGTGTCTGTTCTTATCTTACTTTCTTCCCACACTTTCTTACAGTTTGTCATTCTTTTTCTAACTTCTTGAACTGAATGCTTAATTCACTCCATTCTTCCTGCCTCATTAGTGCAGTTAAGTCTATCCATTTTATGAGTAGTACAGTTTAATCCATAAATTGTGTGAAATGTTATGTCTTCATTATTTTGCAATATTTTGTAGTGTTAAAAATATCTTCATTTAAAAAAAAAGTAATGGATGAGATTCTCCATGAACAGTATCCACCATTGCCCCCTGCAGTGTTCTGTTTTTTCTCATTCTGTAAAACCTCCCATGTAGCTGCTCCTTTACCCTACTGGATTCCCTGGGTGCCTGAGCAGCCTGTCCAGGTGGATGAGCATGCTAGCAGGAAGGTTCACACAGCAGCCCTTACAATCTGTGGCTGTGCTTAGAGCCCTCAGTCAGTGGTGCACATTTGTTTGAAAGGGCAAAAGAGGTCAGCAGAGAGGCAAAGCTTGTAAGAGGGGATGCCTGGAAGCAGGGGCTGAATCCAAGTAGGGCTCAAAGAAATGCACACCTTTGTTAGGACTGCCCAGAGCTTTCGCACTGCCTTCTGAGACCCCTTATTCCCCTCCACTGCAGTATCTCAGAACAAGCCATCAGTGAAGTCCTGGATTTCACCAGGACTTGAGGAATGGACATGCTGCAGGGCCCGGAACGTTCAGTAAGGCAATTGCTTACTTAGAATCAGCTCACTTGTTGTGAGTGCCCTAAATTAGCCCCTTCAGCACTTCAAGGGATTTTAAATTGTATATTTATTTTCCTTCAAATAAAAAGGAATCAATAACTTTCTTAGCTTGCTCTTGGAAACTTCCCACCCCAACATATGCTTGGTGAGGCAAGAGTACTTCATTTACAGGCTCAAAGGAGCATTTTAAATGAGCAGCTTACCCCTCCTCAGAAACTAAGGGTGGCCCGTTTGTTTTAGCCACTTCATTGATCTCGAAAATACACAAGCACATCTTTTGAGATTCTTGAAAATGGCGTGGGGCTCTTTTTTCCACTCACTATGTGACCCTTAATCAACTTTACTCTTATGGTTCTTAATTTTCTCATTAGGAGAAAGACCTTAGAACTTTCATGAATCAGTAAGCCTGTCCAGAAGATGGCTGATAGAGGTAATCACTTTCTCCCCCACCATTTTCCCATTAAAAATCTCTATTTTCTAAGAAAGGTGAGGTCAACTATTATTAAAAGGAAGCAAGCCTTACCCTACCCTACCCTAAAATGGAAGCATCACTTAAAGAGGTATTTTCACCTAATAAGTATCATAATTTTGCATTCTAATAATAGTTCTGAGCTTTGCAGCTTTTGATTTTAATTACTTTACTCCAAACACTGGAAGAAATGGGGTACCTGGCTGGCTCAGTTGGTAGAGCATGCAACTCAACAGGGTTGTGAATTCTAGCCCCACACTGGGCATAGAGCTTACTTAAAAAACAACGACAACACTGGAAGAAAAAAATATGTTATGGCAACATTAAATTAAAATAAAACCGACCAATTATACCTCTGTCCTTCAAAATTATGATATTTTCCTTTTAAGAAAAGAAAATAAATTAAATATGATAAAATTATTTAATTTTCTTTTATTACACTGAACGCAGTGTTTATTTCCTAAGGGGCTCTCAAGTGAGATATAATGCATTACTTAAACCTCCTGTGACAATAACAACTCCTTTTTGGTGAACTTAAAAAAGCAATCTTGAGATATGAAACCCAAATCACCTATTATAATTAAGTTTTAAAGGGAAGTGAGTACCTGCAAAGTGATGCCATGTCAGTAACAAGACACAATTAGGATAATTTTCCTTTTAACTATCAAAAAAATGTTGTCTTTTTTTATTTCATGGTATGTGACCAAGGAGAGGCACAGGGAGGCACTAATACAGAATTTAGGGTAGAACAGAGCCACAGGGGGAACTATCAGAAGGAAAAGAGACTGTAAAATTATCCTCTTTCCTCTGACTGAGGAAAACCAGGCTCAGTAAGTCTGGGAAAAGTGGAATGAAGAAATATATGAGACTTTACTCTACCTTGGGATTACGTCTAGAATAGGATAGATGGGCATCAAAACATGCGTGACTCTAACAGAAAATCTTTACAGGTTTCTGTCCTAGCAGGAGAGCAGTTCCTACTCATTCAAACATCACTCTGTATACCCATAAGAGGAAGTCCTGGTCTGTGTGTGAGGGAGTTACACTACGAGGTTGGATATGGACACTTGTCAAATGGACATCATAGGAGACAGAAGATGCCTTTGGGCACCAGCCATAACCAGTCAGACACAAAACTAAAATTTGTGTCTGTATTCATTTTTAAAGTCAACAGAATATATGTATAGCATATGTAAAGTAGCTCTAGGGTTTAGGAGCTTATAACTTGGCTGCAATGTCCAATTTACATATTCTCATTCTAAAGCAGTTGGGACTTTCATGGCTGTCTAGCCTTCAAGAAACTACTTTTAAAAATGAAAAAAAGTTACATATGCTATTTTGTGAAATATTAAAATAAGAATCTTATGGTAGAAAATTAAAATAACTCTAACCAAATGATGTGAATTTAAAAATTAAGTCACAATTTGGACCTTTTGATTGAATACTGCATACCTGGTCTTAATCTTAGCATCATACATTTTTAACTAATGTGGTTCAAAAAAACTATACTAAATCAAAAACCAAAAAACTGAATGTTAAAGGAATCTTCACCCTAGAGCCTTAAAATGATTCTACCTAAAATGTTTTTAAATTTGACCAGTAATTTAAAATACTATCATTCTTTCACAGTTTATATTTTTCTGTAGTAATTATGGCAGAGTATAACATACTCTGTCTTCATCTGATACAATAATAAGTTCTAAAAGTTGTACTGTTGGGATGGTGCTAAGTACACTAATTTCCTATCAGAAGAGGAAAATTAATGTTATTTATTGTCTTAGCACAAACAGCTTAGATCTAAAAACAATCCACATTAAAAATGCATAGAAGATAAATATTTTCTTGGTTTCATGTAACTTTTTTTAAAGATGTAACAGGACTGCTCTCAAAAATACATTTTATTCTTAGAATTTGAACTGCAAATAACCAAAAAAAAAAAAAAAAAAAATGAGAACAGGGAACAATTTGGTCAGCTTCAAAATACTCCTGAAACAATTTCAGAATTTATAATAAAAAAGTATGTAGAGACAAAAGCATTAATACAGAGAGCAATGGCACACAGTTAATGATATAACTTCTCATTTTAAACTACCATTTCCCTATTGACCACCTTAAATTATAGGATATGTTTTGTTAACAAAACAGAGAGACAGCATGATGACAGACTTGGGCAAATCCACATATGGGCAGTAGTAGACAGTACCCTGGGAAGGCCAATTGATTCATGTCAAGTGTCTTCACAATCTAAATATATCTCTACAACCAAATCTGAGTAATACGATTCAGACCCACTGGGAAGATGCCAAAAGAATGTGCCATACTTTGACCCAGCCTCTGACCTTGGATACATCTGGCTGTCACAACTTTTCATATTGAACTTGAAAAATCTCAATAGGCTTTTGTCCTGAATAAAAGCATATGTAACAGTATGAAAAACATTTTTTTATGCTATGAATCAATAAACATGAATCTGAAAAACCATTTTGATAGTCTTATTATTTATAATAGCATACCATGAATTATTGCATTACTGTCAAGAAACATATTCACAAAAATGAAGCAGAATCCTACTGAAGCAATATTTTATGCAGGGCTTTATGTTCTCTACCAATTCGACTTGATTAAAATGTAAGGGAAAGGATTATTACACTTACTTAATCATATGTGGCACAGTAACCTTGGAATTCTCTTCAAATACTATAGTCATTAAACCATTACACCGTATATTGTCCACACACTGCGAAATTAAAAAACAAACAATTTCAACCCACATGAAAACCTAGGCAGATCATATAGTCTCAGAATCGTTTATAGCCACAAAAACAAGTTGAGTTTCTCATTTTGTCTCTGTGCACACACACACAGCAGCACGTAAACATTATACATTGAAGAACGGATTCAATACCCAGATACCCAAACTGTGCACCTGGCAAACACCTGAGGATAGATATAAGAGCTGTATTCTCCTAGAACGTACTGCCTAAGGACTCTGGCCCCAATGTCACATCATCACAATTCTCTGCCAGGAGCTGCACCAGGTGAGAGGTTTATACCTTCTGACAGTAACTGCCTCTGCTATATTCATTCTCTGCCTGAGGGTGGTCTGGGGCAGGCTGAGTAGAAATGATGGCTTTCGCGGATGGAATTCATCTTCTGTCTCACTAGTAAGCTCTATGCCTGCTTCTAAGGTGGTTTTTTTTCCCCACACTTTACTAGCTTCTCTAGCAGTTTCTATTGGCACCATGTTGATTTGATGAGGATGCATTGTGTAATTTCTCCTGTTTCTGGAATGCATGAAGCCCTGTTCATCTTTTTCTCTTTTCTTTTCAGGAGAAAAATTCAAGAACTTCTGCTAATTTCCACTGCCTTATTTACTTATGCCTTATCAATTTAAAAATTCCCTTTGCAATTAGAGAAAAGTTAGAGAAGGATTTATTTTGAATTACACATCTTCTTTTTGAACAAAACAGAAAATGAAAAAAGATTTAAGCAATTTTTAAAATCAGAACTTATTTCTAGTTACTAGGATACCATGTAGTGATTTATAACTGTAATTAAATGGTGTGAAGAGGTTGATTGGTGGAGGGTGAGGGGCACGGGGAAGAGTGTTGTATGGGGACAGGACTTAGACACAGACAGGGAGAGAAGAGACGGGATAAGTGATCCTTTACCCCAGTGGCCTTCTTTTCATTCTCAGTGTTTTCTAAAGCACAATGAGTATGCTGCTTGAGTTACCAATGCAGGAAGTGAGAGGACAGAGATGGTGTTTAGTGGAAAAATGAACAATGTTCCTTCAGTTTCCTTTAACATTTTAAGCAAATGGCAGAGTTACAAAAACAACAGCTTTAGGATGATTTAGGATTATAGTTTCTATGTTTAGATTTTCTATTTGATTCTTTGACACATCAACCTGGTCCTTTTTACATAATAATCTTTTCTTTTTCCTTCCTTCCTTCCTTCCCTCCATCTATCTTCCTATCTGCCTTCCTTCCTTCCTCCCTCCCTCACTTCCTTCCCTTCATCTATCTTCCTTCCTTCTTTCCTCCCTCCTTCTCTTCCTTCCAGCCATCTTCTTTCCTTTCTTCCTTCCTTCCTTCCTTCCTTCCTTTCTCTTTCTGGCTTTAAAATATTTTAAACATTCTTATTTTACAGTCTTTTCCAAGCTGTCGCCCTATTATCTGAAATTCCAGCAATATTAATTCTGCTATTCACTGTGTCTTCTGACTCTCTCATGATAGATAAGTTACTTAGAAGATTTGTAATTTTTTATTTTGAGCACACTGTCATGAGGCCTGAATTTTAAATTGTTGCTAATGGAGTGACTTTTGTGTTTGCTTCTACCAAGCAGTCTTGGGATTTCAACAGTTCCCAAAACTGCTTTTACGTTAATTCCTCAGTTTGGATTTTTCACACCATGTGAATATTATGCCTTTAAATTTCAAATCCATAGTCCAGAAACACATTCATTTCTTCTAAAGGAAATTTTTAAAAAATCAGAAACCAAGACAAAAACAAACTTCCTTATTTTTGGGGGGGGCTAATGGGAAGTTTTTTTAGTTCTTATCTCACAGAGGGGATACCCTTCCAATATCCAGGATTTAAACAGGGAGCTTAATTGGTTTAAGGGGCCCACGGCTACCTCAGTCCCTTTAGTTAAAACCCCTCAGGCTTGGGACCCATACTCAATCGAAAATCATTCCTAGGTCTCTAGGTCTTCAGCTTAGAAGCTTTCTGCTCTAACTTTAAGTTTCTTCGGTATTTCTGACAACTAGAGATTTCTGTAAAATATCACCAATCTGTAAATGTCACCAGTGTATTTTAAAAATTTTTATTATATTGATTTTATATGTTAAACATTTCTGCTTTTGTAACTAGAGGGGATCTAAATCAGCTCAGTCCTCTACACTGTCAAAATTGGAACTTGGGGCGCCTGGGTGGCTCAGTTGGTTAAGTGACTGCCTTCGGCTCAGGTCATGATCCTGGAGTCCCGGGATCGAGTCCCGCATCGGGCTCC